ATTTACGATGATTCACCTAAATCCGTTCACTAATTAGTGAATTTGAGTATGTAATAAATTTTGAATGGATTTATTTAATTAAATTCATTTAATAAATATTTAGTGGATTGACTTGAGTCATCCATTTATATTTATTTAAATGCGATTGTACATTTTCTTCTAAAAAAAAAGTGATTATACACTTAAACTTAATTTTTAATGAATATTAAACAGATAATTTGAATTCCCTACTAATCTAATAATAATAAAATATCATTATTTCTTATCCAAAAATAAATAAAATTTCAAGTGAGTCATAAATGAATAATTGAGTGCATTCATACTCATTTATTAAGTGTCTATAAATGAGTTGAATCATTTTAACCCATTCATTAAATAAATATAAATAAATTGATCCAATTATATTCCTTACGTGATTGCACCCAATTATGACCGTCCAAACCTTTTTTTTTTTTATAGGGACCGTCCAAACTCGGCCACTCGGCCCCTCTACCACGCGTCTCTCTTGTCAATACTTAAACTAGATTCCATGCGGCCCTTTATTGCTGCTCCGAGGGAGATGAAAACGAACGGCAACCCTCCTTTTTTTATTGGTTTGTTCCTGCTACCGTTAGTATTAGTTCCTAACCTCGCCAAAATAATAATAATAATAAAGTTTGGGATTCTCTGCCTGTGGTTGCACATAACCGTTCATGATTGGAATGGAGATGAATAAATTTAAATTTAGATGGTTAAGATTAGATGCTAGATATAATTTTCAAAAAGTGACAAAATTTGCTAAATTTTTGCATTTTTCTGTGATTATGTTATACTATCCATCTTTAGAGCGCTAATCTATTCTACACTAAGGGGGAGGGGGCAGATCTAAGGAGACCCAGGGACAATCCGAAGGAGACTGAATGATGACCGGATCAAACGGGTGCACAACACACTCGCCTGAATTTTTTAAAACAAACCACTTAAATATGGCATTTTGATGGGAGGCCTCCCATCCCACCAAGCTAGATGGTGGCCATCAGACCCAAAGGCCGGTGATTCTACATTGCTGTACTTGTATCCACGTTGTTGTATCGTGCAATTAAAATTCACCAGATTGTAGAAGCCCTCGATCCGCCAAAAAGACCAACCTGCCGCCAGGTTGCTAAATTGCGCCGGGCACACCAAACCCAAACAACTCTTAAAAACATAAAAGAATAAAATCCAGTTGAGCTTAACAAGACGACGGTATCGGAAACTAAAAGAAGATTACTAATTGGACGGAAGAAGATTTAAGAGCCAAACCTGTTGATAGTTTGATTTTTGTTTTTGTGCAGGATGGCTTTATTAGAAAAACAATATTGAACGATATTGGGAAAAAGAAAGCGGAATATCATATTCCAGCATTGCTAAAAACCGGTGAAAGAGGAAAAGAAGAAGGGAGAAGAGAAGGAAACAAGCAGATGAGCGGGGAAGGGCATTTACAGATAGTGGAAAGGGTTTAAGGGTTGGAACTTGGGAAGATTTATTGTCTTAACTGTCAATTTTTCGAATTTATTTGGTCAAGATACTCGTCATCCTTTATTAACACCCAAAATCAATGTGATAAAAGACAAGTTGGCCATCAAAAGGGATTTAAAATCCTTTTTAAACTGTAGGTCAAGATTTAAACCTTACACCATACAGTTAATAAAATTCAAAAAAGTGTTTGTCTTCCCTCTAATCCCTTGTACAATCCAATTAGGTTTCCCCTATGCTGTTGATTTACATTAAAACAAAAAAAAAAAAAAAGTGATTTAGATCGATGATACATCAATCGATGAAGATCTTAAAGAGGCATGGTATATACCATTATGACAGTGACTGCGATTGACACCAATAATTGTGTATTGTATTTCCTTAAGAATGCGTTTGGATTGCGATTTTTCAAAGCTACATTTTCAGTTAACACATTTTTCAATCACTTTTTTTAATTCATATATATCAAATAGTTATAGTAATTTTTTACAAAAAAAAATCCACAAAAATGCAATCAAAATAAAACAAACTGCTATAAGACCAAGATCAACTAAGAGTTCCATTTTGACCATAGTGCCTGGTCCGACATTTTATAAGCCTATTAACTACTATAAATATTGGTCATTGTATCAGTTGTATATATGACACCTATATACAAATCCCCACTTCAACGTTCTCAGAGAAATCAGGCAATGTTTGGGGAAGGAATGGGAGTGCAGATTTCAACAGACATGGCGAGAGGGCAAACATAAGTGTAGATGGTCAAGCAAAGCTGAGCTTAAAGCTTGAACTGGGTCCCAAAGTCTTCGGAACCCTCTAATTGTTTTAGAAAACTTTTGACACGTGATGTAATAGGAGCGGCATCCCCCTCCCCCCGCTTAATTTGTGCATAACGGGCTGATGGCTCTCCGTGGACCCCGAAAAAAAAAAGGAAGCTTCTTTTGGATTTAAAAAAAAAAAAAGCCTCAAATGATTTGAAATTCACTTAAATGGATCTAATTGTTTTAATTGCTTAAAAGTGATCTGGATTTGTAATTCAGTAATTATCTAAATATATTTTAAATATTAGAATAATCGGTGAATTATAAATTTAAATACCTCGTAAGTAATCTAAATAACTAGAAAGATTTGAAAGAATTTCAAACGTTTCGTCAAATTCTTTAATTTAACCCCTTATTTGGTACACAGAAATGGCTAGAAAGAAAAGGTCTTTTCTGGATTCCCATTCCTAAAAAACTTAGGGAAAGCCTTTCCATCTTTATCCTAAAATGGCTAAATAGTAGAATGTCATATTTATCCTTATAAATTGTTATACTACATCATGATATCCTAGACTATTTGTGAGCTAAATTAATATTTGAATATAAGTTTTCATAATAATTAATTTTCCTTGTATTTAAAAATTTTTTTGTACTAGAAAACAAATGTTTTAAGATGCTTTATTTTTTGACTTTTGAACAATTGTGCAAGAATTTTTTTGAATCTTATCAAAACTGAAAATAAATTAAATATAAATTATAATCATTTGACTTCATGTAATTCATATTTTACATTATTAATTATGTTGCTAGTAACTATAAAATTTTAACTTTAAAATCTATATATTAGAATGAATCAAGTATTACAATTGAAGAATTTTAATATTAATTTTCATTTATTTTTGAAGTAAAAGTATCTACATTTCACATAAGTATACAAATACTATAGATCAAATAAAATGAAAAGCAATAAGATGTATTACGTCCTATAAACTAATTTAGGGAAATTAAGTCAAATTTGTATTTACTAGTATTTTCCATTTGATATCTAAACGTCGATTACACCAAATATTGAAAACCGAGTAAACATTCAATTTTGACTTTTTCACCAAACTCTGGAACAATAAATTCTTTTTCCGCCATTCTAGGAAGAAATGTATTTTGGATGGAAAAGCCTTTCCATTTTGAGCATTCTTGCGTACCAAATGAGAGTAAACGCGGTCTAAAAGAGTAATGAGTTTTACCTAAAAGGTATCCAATAGGCTTTTCCTAATATAAGAAGAGTCTCCCATGTTAGTTCTTTGGAAAATATAGACTCTGTATGGATTATGTGTTTTTGAACCTATGTTTCGTAAATTTTACTGTAACAATGTATATGAAAAATTGTTACTATAGTTATTTATGGGAGTGTTTTTAAAATTTCAAATATTGTTGTAATACTTTTAAAAACTTGAAAAAAAAAAATTCCAAACCCACCACCACCCTTCCCCTCCCTCCTCCACCGTTGAAACCTTGTAGCCCCTTCCCCTCTCTTTCTCTCTCTCTTCCTTAGTTTTACCTCTCCATCTTTCTCCTTCCTCCTTCTTCTCTTGCCTTGTTCCTTTCTCTTCCTTCCCTCCCTTTCCCTGCCAAAGGTCGCTATCTGCTAATCGCAGCCAAAGGGAGAGGATAGGGGTTTGTGAAGGGGAAGGGAAGGAAATAAATAAGGTGGCACGGGAAGGAAGGGGAGGAGGGAGTGAGAGAATAGAGAGAAGAGAGGAAAAAGGAGAGAAAGAATGAAAGAGGAGAGAGGATTGGGAGAGGCGACAAGGGTGGTGATGATGGAGAAGAGGAAAGGGAAAGGGATCGTAGGTGGTGATGGGTGAAAAAAAAATAGAGGTGATAGATTTTAGTTATTTATCTATTTATTTTGTTAGTTGTATTTAAGGTTTGTAACAATTATGTCCTTTTAAAAGTGTTCTTAAGAGTGCATTACTGTGGCATTGTATTTGGTATACAAACCCATAGTTAAGTTAAGAAGGTGGCTAAATGCTTGTCATTGTGTGTAATCATATAATAAATTAGATGAGCTAACAAATGCCTGTGGAGCCCGTCATTGTTATTGTAGAAGAAAATCCGTACTTAATTTTCTCAAACTCTGATTGTAGGATCCTGGTTTTAGTGTTCATTTAATAGTCAAATCTTTTAAATCCAAGTGCAACGTTTCTTGTAGGATCCTGATTTCACTAAATCCAAGTGCACGTTTCTTGAATGTTTGATTAATTTGCAAATGCAAAACCTGAAGCCATGTTATGAAACCCGAACTACTATTTCAGCCATAACATCACGTGGCTATGGCCTATGTGTGTTGAGAAGATTTTAAGTTCGTTCTAAATCCACCTTCACAGTCTCGCTTGCGAAAGGGTCCAACCCAGAAGGAATCTTTATGGTTTTAATTAATTCTTGGGCAAAAGAAAAGAAGGCGGATTCCTAAAGGACTAAGGTTCTGTTTAACAAGGTAAGTATGTGACTTATATGGCACCTGGAATTTCAATGAAGAAAGAGCAAAAGAGCATTCTCAAGTATGAAATATGTGCTGGGAATGGATGAATTCTGACAACGCATGCGTCTTTGCTGAGCAAGGTAGAAAAGTGCACAGGTGGTGAACGAACAAAGCAGACGGAACCTGCACCCTAGTAGGAAAAAAGGGTTTAAACAGCAGAAGAACCTGCACCAGAGTAGGAAAAACTGTCTACTTTAGCTCTAGAGTAAAAGACAATAATAAAATGTGATCTACAGAGCGGCAATATACAAACAAGATCCACATCATGTCAGAATGAAATGGAAGGAAGCTCACGAATCTTGGTCCCAGTTCTTGTAGTAGTCGGGAACTAAAATCTTTTGAATTTTCTAAGGATGGCTCCAGTAACGAATTACAAAAGGGAAAAAACAAAAACAAAAACAAAAAGTATAGACACATCTGCAAAAGGCATATGCTACAGTAAGTGATTACCCTATGAACCTGATGGGAACTCAACATCACTGGTTGAGTGAATTCACTTTTCTGTCAAAAAAATGGTGTTAGACTCAACTTGACGATGGGAAGGATAATTCCCGTGAGTCCCCCCGGCTCTCAGAAATTCTAACGCAGGTAGAATAAATTTGTATTTCGCTCTCCTCGCATCGTGAGCATCAAAATTTAGTAGTATGCTGCTTCAGCGACCTACACAAGACGTCAATCCCATTGCTATGGTCTAAGTATCATTTATAACTAGACTGGACATAATTGCAGCAATCCCCACATGCTGCATAGCCCTTAAACAAAATCTGGGACAATCTTTGTTGCTCTGGTGGGCTACTTTCTTCTTACTCTTCTTTCTTCACAGCTTCCCCAATCTCTACCTTCTCTTCTTTTTCAGCTTCAGAAGCCCTGTCAGCAATTTCATCTGCCCTAGTGCCTGGAACATTCTGCATGACCTGTTTCTGAACCTCAGAGTCATCAGTTATAACCTGAAGAAGATCCAATGGGGTAGCCGCAGGGTCCAGCTCCAGGCAACCCTCAGGGGCGTTTTGAGCTTCTTTACCTGTAAGCTGGTAATTTGGGACCTGATGTGAGAACCGAAACATCTCCTCTTTAGGTATTTTCATTACCTTTTCTGGCTCCAAATTTGGAAGAAATACCGTCTTGAAACCAGCAACCTTGACTAGAGGCGCAACAGACACACCTCGTTCCTCATCGTAGTCAACAAGCACTACCATCATGTCATACTTGTGTATCAACTCCTCAGCTGTATCCTCGTTCCAATCAGGGGACCAATTTTTATAGAGTGCCCAAACTTCTCCCTTTTTGGGAAATATGTGAACAACGCCGCGTACTTTTGACCACTTAACCTTGTGGGAAAATGAATTGATGGACTTGTTGATTTCATATCTACCAAGTCTGAACTCCCCACATGTTTTATAGAAACCAGAACCAATCCAGTCCATTTTACCAAATTCATTACTGGTTTTAGAGTTAAGCCAGCTAATTCTCAGCTTAAATGGATTCCTTGATATCACCTTATTAACCATAGCATAGAAACGAGGCATGCCATCATCGTCATCATATGCAGCCCAAACCTCATTTTCTCCAAAGGAACTCTCTGCCCTGTCCTGATCAAAATCATGAAAATCAGGATCTGGGACATTCATTGCTTCTGCCACAACATGTTCTTCATCAACGTCACCAGCAGTGGGGGTACCAGCACTCTTCTCTGCATGGTCAGCCAGTCGGGTAGCAGAAGACTCACCAGACCCACTTAGATCACGACCATGATCATTCCTGGAGTTTCTTTCTTTTTCTTTCTTTGTATCTGTCACCTTCATTTTCTCTGTCTGGACAGCTTTGCTTGCATTCTGTGATCTCCATTCAGTTAGTTTCTTTAATATCTCCTTGCGTGCCTTTGCCATTAGCATGTTCCTGTTTTCAACTGGAGTCAGTTCTCTCATGCAGTTGGGCTTACTGTAAGCAAAAGAAAAACCATGAACCTTATCATGTTCAAATCCAGCTTTTCTTGGTGCTGATGTACCAGCAAAACTGGAACCACCATTTACTGTGGTTCGGTGATATGCCGTGTTTGCTCCATAACAATAACCATCATCATCTAGTCGTGTCTTTTTGTAAACCCTCTCTCCATCAAAAGCAGAATTGTAGCTGGAATTTCCGTCCCACCCTGCAGCAGCAGCCTGTGATGCATCACGCTCTCTCTTCATTCTCTCCTGTGCCTGCTGAATGACATTGGCTGCTTTTGCTGCAATTGAAGGATCTGTGCTGCCAACACTACCAGTCCTAGAAAATCTATCCTGGGGGGAGTTTGCTGTATAAGTCGGCGACTGAAGCCCTGCTGGTCCAGGTCCTGAATCCTTAGCAGAAGCAGTAGCATTTCTTCTTGGATCAGATAAATTACTAGGAGCTGCATGATTACTTGAATTTTGATGCCGATGCCTTGAAGCCAAGTTCGATGACTTGGAATAATTGAAGGGTGGAGCAGTCTCTGATGCATAAAAAGCCTCATGACAGTTTGGACAAAGAAGAGTGTGGTTGAGATATTGTTTAAGATATTCATAATGCATCTTGCACCGATGACAAATAGTCCAAAAAGTATCAGTTCTCCTAGTGTTCTGTGTCTTGGGAGCTGAAGTTGTCCTGCCTGAGTGATTGTGGTAGCCATTTGATCGTGGAGGTTCAGATGGACCACTAGCCTGAGTTGGAACTTTTTGCTGAAATCCTTTTGGAGACCTCCTCATGTTGTATGCTAACCTCTTAGACTTGTCAGATAACAAGCTCCAGGCCTCGCAAAGAAGTTTAAAGGCACCATCAGCACCAACAGATCTATTTTTATCAGGGTGAAGCAGGAGAGCCAATTTCCTATACTGCTTCCTTACTGTTTCATCATCAGCAGAGGGATTTACTCCAAGTACACCATACCAATCAACTTCTCCGCTAATCTTGTTTTCAGCAGAGATATAAACATCAATGGTTGTCAACATTTGGGAAAGACCATCAAGTCCAGGGTATAGACTTTGAGCTTTCAAAGCAAATTTCTTAGCACCAGTGAAGTCCTTGTTCTCTAGCTTCCCCTCAGCAATGGTTTTCGCTCGAAGGGCCTCGTCTTTATTGCACTCCATGATTCAACAATATGTTTCCAAATGGCTGCTTCTATACTCGGTGTGCCATGAATGGCAGTCAAAAAACACAAAACCAACAAGCTTCTCAAGAAAAAAGGATCATTTGTTTGAAATAATTGATATCCGATCCCACACTGAAAGAGGAGGTTTTGACAATCAACACCTGAAGTACATAATAAGACAAATGAAGGACAATAGAGAAAATAACCTTTGGACCGATAAAGTACCAAAAACAGAGTACTAGAAAAAGAGGGAATGCATATCCAGCCACAAAATACAAAAACTAAACAAAGACCCGATGGTATAATCTGAAGATTAATCAGAAAATATCCGAGTTAAGTAAATGCATTTCCTATAGAACTCTAACCCCACACCACCCCTTCCCCACAGGAAAAAAAAAAAAAGAAAAAGGAAACAGAAACCCAGAAAGTATCTCCTGAGGGGTTTTCCAGAGAATCATCGAACTAATCAGAGTGAAGGATGAACTCTGATTCACTTGCATTATGTCTAACATGGTTACCTAACATGATTTCCAATGCAAAAGATTACGAAAACAGAATTTAATTGTGATAACAAAATGCGGTCATCAAAGCACTCAAGCTATATGAAAGCCACAATCTTTAACCAAACATTGCAGAATGCAGCAGATAACTATCCAAATGCAAGGACTTTTGTTTCACTAAAACAACTCAGCTCATAAAATCACAAGAAAAGGACTCTAAGTATCCCTGCAACTCTCTTCCCTATACCAAAAGCACTTAGGGGAGGGGAGCCAAAAAAGTACTAGCAATCGGGGAAAAACGAGAGAAGCATATCTAAGTACCAAATACAGTACTAGTGAAGTATCCTTCAAACTCGAAGTATCAATTCCAGAGAAATACAAGTAGCAAAAATGACAATAATCAGCGAGTTGATTTGCATAAGCACCAATTACTAACCACAAACAACAAAAATTAAATGGATCACCCATCATAATAGAAGACGAATCATATTCAAATTACGCAATTGGAAGTGGATCTGAAGAATTAGCGATGTCTAACCGTCGAATTGTACTGTTCATATTGAGAAAGATAATCACCAGTGAAAGAAATAGAAAACCCTAGAAATCAGCAGGAAGGTTATAATTCGCGTAACAATTGGGGAAATGAAAAAAAGACGAAATTTTTGAATAATTACCCAGGGTATATGAGCACGTGAATCGGCAAATTGTAGGTTTTTTTGCAGGTTGTTGAACTTGGAGGGATTTCCCACCAAATTGAAATGGAAAAAGACCCCCAAGAACTGAAACTTTCGGTCAAAACCCCTCAAAGGCCAGGAAGAACTCTCAAATACCCCCACAAACCCCCAAAAAAAGAAAATTCTCCAATATTTGTTGGAATAACAGGTAGGCAATAGGCATGGGCTTGGTTTTTATACCTTGACCCACTTTTGATTTAACCCTAACCATGATTCTTTAACCGTGGTTGAAATATGACCATGGTTACTTTTTTAACTCTTTGAATTTGGAACCTTTTCAGGCTTTTCTTGATCATTTTCCTTTTTCTTTTTTCTTTCTTGAATTTTGTTTTTTGAAAATATTATTTGCATCCTATTTTTTATTATTTGCACTCCTATCATTTGTTTTGTCATATGATCTAATAAATGAAAACTATATGATTAACAAAAATGGACACTTGGCATCATTTCTTTTTTACCATGCCCTCATCTTGTTACTTCATTCGTTATATTGAAAGTATTATATTTTCCATTTTGAAATGTTCCAAAATGTTTGTCATTTTACCAAAATCAAAATTACTTTTGATCTCTTTTTTCAATGTTGTCTCATCCTTTATCTATATTTCATACTAAGTTCAAATTTGAAATTTGAAATTTCAATGGTAATTTTGGAGAAAAATCTATTAACATCACTATGAAGCTAATATTTTTAAAAAAATTAAAATCCTAAAATGCAACAAACAATTTGAGACAGAGAGAGTACGTTTTAGGAAGGAAGAACTAAACTAGGTTATATAATAGACTATTCTACTTTAGGAGTGTGATTGATAAAACTGAAGTTTAAAAACTGAAACTTGAAATTTGAAATGTAAAGTGTGAATTCATTAAGTTATTGAATTGTTAAATATCAAATCCGATACATGTGAGTGTATATCACATTAAGTGATAAGTGAATTGCTTATCACTTATTGTTAAGAACAAGTTTTATCGAAGAAATTCAATATCATTTAATTAATTTAGATGTTCAATTTTTTTACTATCAAACACGTTTGAGAATGTTAAGTTTTGAATCAATAAAGTTAAAATCTTGATTTGGATTATCAAACAAATTTTAAAAATAAGGGAAATTCAACTTAGTTATATAAAGGGATGCAGGAAAAAACCCATTAGATTAAGGCATTGCATTGACACACCATTTAGGTAACCCGTGGGGTGTGAGTTTAAACTGACAATCTAGAGATCATAGAGGGATACTAAAACCCTTTGGAGTGAGTGGATAGCACAATCAAAGGTTTGTTTGAGTTCGATTAAATTTGAACATAAGTTGTGGTCGAGTAATTCGAATATATCGAGTTTGATTTCCATATTATACTACTCGGGAAGCTTGTTAGCTTATCAAGTATTTACGAACATATCAATTTTTACCACTCTAACTCGATTCAAATAAAGTTTGGGATCAAGCACTTGTTCCTCGTATTCTTCTTGGACAGCCAACTTATCCTTGATAAGTTAGTTGGATTAAGTGGGACTAGTTGTACTAGTATTAAACTAGTTTAATAATCCATGTAAAGTAATATAAACATAATTCTAAAAAGCAAGAAAGTATAATTCTAAAACCACTAATTTTTTTAAAACAGGTTGTGCATTATTTGTAGAAACATTATAGGTCAGAGATTTGGAATTAAAATTGTAGAATGTGGAGATTTTCCGGAAGTTTTGAAGTTCAGACCGTGGAGACTTCCAAGTCGAAGTTTGGATATTTGAAATTCTAGAGCAAATGACAGAAAAGGTCACTCAACTGTTTAAATTACACCGTTTAGTGATGAAACTTTTTGTTTGGTCAAAAAGGTCACCAAACTCGTAAAAGGGTATTTTTTTTATTATTTCATTGAAATTCGGTGTTAAGATAGTCAGAAATATATCTACACGAGCAATACACAGAGAATTTCAAGGGCAAAAATGTCTCACATCTATTAAAAAAAAGATTAAGATACTTTTGAGTTTCCAAAATTTACTAATTCTCTGCAAACATCAACTAAAATTTCTAAGAATTGTTAAACATTATTATCATAATCTGGAGAAAAATACTCCCTCCGTCCCACTTTAATAGTCATGTATTCTTTTTTCATCTGTCCCAAATTGTAGTCCACTTTCCAATTGAAGAATGTAGTTGTATTTTAATTTTTCTAAAATATCCTTATTCAATGTAAGTAGTTGTTACTATAAACCTACCCCATTCAATGAGAGTTGATTCTTTTTTTTACCATCAATTCAAGTTCCCATAAAGTTGTACCATATTTAATGTAAGGGTATTTTAGAAAAATAGCAATCTATATTTACTTTTTCCAACAAGGTTAACTACTTTTTCTTAAACTGTGTGAAAAAAAAAATAGGACTATCAAAGTGGGACAGAGGGAGTAGTAAAGTTTGAAAATTAAAAAGGCCCTTAATCTTTTTTTTAGTATGTGCCTAAGTTTGTAAGATATTTTTGTCCTTGAAAATCTAAACAAACTGCTCACGTGGATCCATTTTTTTTAGTATGTGCCTAAGGCCATTGTCGAGTCCGTTGCTGTGAGATTTCTTTCTACGATGTAACTTAAGTTCTAATTTCAGGATTAACCATCCCACCGTCCCAAGAAATTTGGGTCAAAATGTTGAGGTTATAAGTTGGGGGCGTAGAACGAGTGTGTTTCTAGTTACATGCCTGTACATGCTTTTCATAACCTTTACTTTTTCTTTATTTCTTTTTTTTTTGGGTCTGGGAACTCATATTTGATTTAGAATCTGATTCGGATCCTCAATTCTGAATAAGTTAATTTAATTTTGAAAATTTTGCAAATGAACAACTCTTGTATAGATTCCTACCAAATGATTGAAATGTAAGTTCCATGGAATTAAAAAAAAAAAATCGACTAGGATTTCTATTATCTGTTGCAAACTAAAGAATTCAAATAATTTAGATATGAGTATCATATTAACAAGACATTAAATTAAAATATTTTGGCATTCTTAAACCATAAGTCTCACCAATAACGAGTGATATGCCTAAGAATAAAGGATACCAAATTTGAATACTACAATAGGTGCACAAGTTGTTAGTATCATAATATATATATATATATATAATCCTTATTCTTTTTTTTCGACAGCGATAATATTTGTATAATCTAATCTATCTTATTCTAGAGAGAGGGGAGAATAGGAGTCTAAAGAGATTGTGTAACGAGGGGAGTCTAAAGAGATTATGTAACGGGCTAACAGGTATTCAAATTTGACTTAGACCAAAGGAGTGTTCTAACACCATTTTTAAATTTTTTTCACTGCAGGTGGGGTTCGAACACCCGACCTACTGTCTAAAAAAGGACTTAGTCTATTTTTGGTGGGCATTGAGCCAAAGTTGTGGTTAAATCGCAATCCTTGTTTTTTTTTTTTTTTGGCAATCGTCATCCCTACTTCTATTCCTACTCTTACTCTATCTTAATCTAATTATGAGGAGACTCAACTAGACTTATGGGGGACCAATGGGGACAGAATCACCATCGGACCAGACGAGTGTGTGGATTTTTTTGAAGAACCACAATTCTGGCAAATTAGTGGGAGACAAGGTTCGAACCTTGCCTCCCACCCCACAATCGCAATCCTTGTTGGAGAGGCGATTTTGGTGTCATGAGGAAAGACACGGCAATTGATCCCCGGCATGTGCGGAAGCAAAATGCTTGTTCTCACTCTCAACTGATCGCACATGCTAAACATATGACATATATTAACTACCAACAATCATGCAGAGCTAACCGAATAAAATTCCCAGGCTAATTCAGACTGAATGGCATATCAGCAAGATTGACTTGCTTAGGAATTTTCTACATGGACTTAGGAGCCGTTTGGTTCGAATTCCAAAATCACTATCACTATCAGTATCATGAGGTGATCAATGATAATTGAGTGTGTTTGGACAACCAAATAATGGCAAAAAATTATTTGCTTACAATACAAATACAATTTTCAACACACATTTTTATCTTATCAATTACCTTTTTATCTCACATATCCTGTAATATGAATTTTTATCATATCACAGTGTGGTCAATCAGTGATAATGGATTTTCATCATATCATAGAGTGGTCAATCATAATAGGCTTTGATGAAAACCCATAATGTGTTTGTTAATGTGCAATGAATCTTACGGTCAGATGATTTTGCTTAGGAATTTTCTACATTGACCTAGTGTTTCTCGAAACAGAAAACTGAAACTCTCTTATTACAAAGTGTCAAACAAATAGAAACTTGGAGGATGATCATATTTACAGGCGCTTGGAAGTTTCTGTCGCACCCCTATTAAATTGAGTGCCATCCGTATTTTTGTCATTTAGTTTTTTTTTTCATACTTTTGCCATTTAGTTTAAAAGAGGTGTATGAATTGCCACCATTCATTCAGGTCTAGGGCCATGATTTATTATGTCATAGGCTAAGCACCAAAGCAGGAGGCATTCACCCCCTGCATTCAAACGTCCGGCTCCGATCTGTTATCAGCTCCTATGGGCCTATAATCGGTTTATAACAGGACAGCCCAGACGTGTTCTCCAGCTGTCAGACGAAACCCATTTCCACATGAGCCACCAAATTTTGGCCCCAACAAATTGTGGGCTTGGACTTGATTAGCCCAGCTTCCTTTACAACGCCAACACACGGGATCTCCATGGGCCCAAAACTGTAAGAAACTTCGTGATCGACCGGTTCCAGGTTCTTTAGTTTTCGTTTCCCATCCTTGCACTTGTTTTGATGATGGGGCTAGAAGGGGCCTATGTTCTAGATGCATTTCCGCTATAAAACACGAATAACAATCAATGGGAAGCAAAAGATAAATACACAACCGAACACAGAAAAATTTCTACTGAATTTGAATTACATTACACATCCTATAACCAACCAGACAAGACATACATCGCTACAAAGCCAGCATGCCTTCAAAAACCAATGAATGAACAAATCACTGCCTTGCCGATCTGCACATTCAGCAGTTATAAACCGGCAGATTCCCATACTGGAATTCTAAACTGCAAGGTACTGCCCATGTCATGTCAACAAATTCTTCAGTCACGCTGGGATTCCTCTGATTCTGCCTTCTTATGGTGAAACTTCACAACAATGCA